TGAACAAGTAAGCTATAAATTAGATTTGTACCGGGCAGGCAGAGACACCGAATTCCAAAGAAGTTACAAAGAAAGCCAGAAGCAATAAGGATGTGCTAACATGTGCTACTCCCTTGGTAACCAGAAGAAAAAAGTTAAACTTAGAGTCACCTCTTTAGGGCCCACCCTTATTCCTCCCTAGACCATCCCAAAAATCCTTTATATGGGTATGAGGGGATGTACTATCTGATTACATTTGTGGATGCCTATAAAATCTTTGTTGCTTGCTTTGCAAGGTGTGGTTCTCCTCAACACGTTGCCACTGTGTTGAATGAGCCATCCAGAATATTTATTGGCCAATAAACTTCTGTTAGCTAAAGATAAGCCTCGTCTCAAGTTAATTTGGTTCTCCAAACTTGGGTAAACGAATAAACAAAGGCTAGTGCCTAACACTCCCTTATTGTGACATTGTCCAACAGCAGCCTCAAGGTATGTAAAATCTGTTAGACTTTGTCCCTGGGAATTGCTGATATCTGGAAACAGAGGGCATTGAGGCAGGGTAGGGATTGGCAATGGGGACAACATACTGCGTATTATATTAAGCTGATATAGTTGTATTTAAATTTAGGGAGGGTGGGAGAGCATTCAACCTAGTTATAGGAAAGGCCATTTGAGATCTTCACAAATTCATCTCATTATTTTGAAATTAGTTATTTCAGACATGGAGGGAAATCTATTTCACACCCCACAATTTATAACTAAGTTGCTGAGATCACCTAGATTATGACTTTACACTAGGAAAAAAAATTAACAATGAATGAGATGCAAATGGACGAATCATTCTAATTTTTAGACTGTTTATTTTATATTTTTGCAAGCATAAGCACAATCATCTGTGATCTGCAGTTGGGGCCTACTCTCTTGTTCCATTCTGTATTCAGTCCTGTATGTTCTTTTCCGAGAGATAATCGTATTACAATTTTATGAGCAATGGCCCACTGCATGAAGTTCTGGGCTACAGGGACCTGTATCTTTTCCAGATGAAAATGCTCGCAGAGCAGATTTCTGCTAAAATCACCCCTTGTGGATCTTTTATTAATTGCCAATCAATAACAGAAAGACAAGATCAAGACTGATTGCATTTAAGCATCATAGGAGCAATTGTCACTTCTTTCCTTATCAAATAGAGATTGCTTTTGCTCACTTATGGCTCCTATCAGGACTTGTGCTATCAATTTCAAAGTCCTTTTGCCAGTTTTTAAAACACTTAAAATACATTTGCACGCTACACATTAAACAATAAACTAACCAAGCAAGTTGGATCTGTGCACTATGCTAATCCATGCATATACACACAGGGACTAATCAAGGTTAACACTAACTCAGCATATTGTGCAAATGTCACTAGTTAAATGTGTTGTGCAAATATAGCCTTTGTGATGACACTTTTTATGTATGTAACATTGGTCTTTGTGATTTACCAACAGCTTGAAACCTCTGGATTATTTGCAATTGATAAAAGCTTGGCCTAAGCAAAACTACAGTATTTTTCGCCTTCAGCAATTTGCAGTGGGAACCACCTCTCAGTTCAACCCAGTCTGGCCACAATAGAAACTAGGCCTACCAGATCTGGTTTGCAAAGCTCTAGACAGCCATTAGATGGCAGCAAAGAGATACCGGAAATTCCATTTTATTTATTTATTTTTTGCTGCCAGAGAGTAGTCACTTGGATTTTGCAGTCCAAATCTAGTAGCTCTAATGGAACACCACAGGACTAAATAAGATAGAGAAGGTGTATTTAGAATCAGACATTCCATAAGAAGATTCTCTGTGCAAAATCCTCTTTCCGTGTATGTGGTGTGTATGGAATCTACTCCTTAGCATGTCTCATAAAGTAGCAGGATCTTCTTTCCTGGTTTTCAAAGAAAGACTGAAAAAAATGAGCTGTTTTAAAGAATGGCAGAGAGGGGTGGTACTTGCACATGTACTTATGCAAAATCTGAAATATGTCTTTCAAATCATTTCCAAAACATGCCTAATTCTAAGGTTATACACAAACTATGCTCTCTGTATAGATATTTGTTTCTTGTGGTTACAATTTATAGGAAATTTAAATCAATATCAACACATATAATTACAGACATTTTCCTTTATAGGAAAAGCATTTTACTGTGTCGATGGTGTAGGAAATAAAGACAAAAAGGTTGGTTCGAGGTCATATTTGGGCTTTCCTGGGCATGACTTTGATCTTGAGGAAGCTTCTGGGAAAGGTTGCATTATACGTTGTTCATGTCTTCCTTGGTCATGCAAAGGATGGTCAAGAAAGTTGGCACCAGGAGCTTGGAGGACATCATGTTCATTTAGAATTGGAATGTGATGGACTAAGTCCACACTGCTATGATGGAAAAAATGATAACCGCTGAATGAATCCTGCTCTTCTGAGGACCTGCTTTCTTCTCTTTTATATGCAGTGTCATTAGACCTGTGATGATGGTGGTGGTACTGATGCCATTGGCTACATTTAGGAACCCACCCATATGGCGATTGGCGATGATCATCTGGTCTATGAGGAATAGGTCGGGGAGGTGGAGGCCCAGGAGGTGGTGGTGGATATTTACTAGGAGGAAGATGGTGGGGACCACCAGGAGGAGGAGGAGGGTAACGAGGCCCAGGAGGAGGGGGAAAGTCACGATGTCCCTCTTGTGTATGTTCAGAAGAATTATGGTTGCTGCTGGGACCTCTAGGACCAGTTTGATAATGGCCAAGAATTGGTGGGTATCTATGCTCATGGATGTGACCATGATAGTGAGAGTGATTGTGATGATGATGACGATGGTGATGATGATGATGATGATGAGGGTGATGATGATGATGATGATGATGGTGAGGATGATGATGAGGGTCATGATGATGATGATGATGATGATGATGATGATGGTGAGGATGAGTATGATGATGATGGTGAGGATGATGAGGGTGATGATGATGATGATGATGTCTGTGTAGCACATGTTTGCATTCATGCCCAGTTGCATTGCAGTGACGATGGTCTTCTCCTGAATCATGGTGGAAGTGGTGACTATGGTTGAGGACGCTGCAATACTTTCCAAAGGAAGTTAAAAGGACACAGCCACCATTTATGAATGCATGAAACACAAATGAGAATCAGAAAAAAGAGACCAAGTTAATTAGTACTCTATTTGCTGCATATTTGTGATTGTATGCAACATATCTTGCATGAAAGTATTATGAACGTACCTTACAATCATTGAGCTGTTTTCTACTGTTATATCTGCCACATGGGGTTGAACTGAATGAGCATCTCTGGGCCACTGATTATGAGGCGTTGTACCATTCCTCAAATACAGATAGTCCTTGGGTTATGATGGCAGTTGGGACTGGGATTGCCATTTCTAAGTGATGCAGTTGTAAAGTGTGATGTCATGTGACCGCATCACTTATTGATGGCAATCCCAGGCAGTCTTGGTTGCCCCTGTAATCCCAAGGCATGTGGGTCATTAAGTGGGAACCAGTGGGAGTCCCAGATAAGGAGTGCAGGGTTGCCATGGAGGGTGCCATGGAGGGGTGGGGGAGGCCGGGGCAGGGTCTGAGAGGGCTGGCGCCGGCTGCATGCTAATCATGGGAGGCTGTGGGAGGGCTGGAGCAGGCCATGCATGAGTCGCTGGAAGCTGGAAGAGGGCCAGTCAGGCCGTGCGTGGGCAGGGTGGTTCTGCGGGTGGGAGAAAAAGCAGGAGCAACTTACCAGAGTGACTTGTGATCTTGCCTGCTGGCTTCCTACAAGCTTTACACTTTGCTTGTAGGAAGCCATTAGGAAAGGTCACAAATGGCAATGGTGTGACCACGGCTCCCTGCAATGTTGTAATTGCAAGCTGGGCACCCTAGTGTCTGGATCGCGATCAAGTGCCCACTGGGGTGCTGTGATGGCTGGAACTTCGAGGAGCAGTCATATGTCCATTTTTTCAGTGCATCTGTAACTTTGAACAGTCACTGAATGAATGGACTTAAGCTGAGGACTACCTGTATTATCTATTTCGTGGTAGTACTGTACTTCCTTTACTTGGCTGATACTGACAGGGAGGTAGGAGAAAAGAAAGATGGGAGAAAGCTAGAGATCCAATGGGACTAAGGACAGATTGCAATCCCTTGGGAAAAAAAACCCAAGTTGTAGGTAAATTGTAAACCATACTTTGAGAACCTCTATGCAAACTCATCTCTACATTTCTCTGCTGGACAGATTTGGTTAGATTTCTTAGAGTCAGTGTAAAAACAAAATCAACCACAGGTGATTCTGCACTACAATATTAAGCCTCTCCTATTCTGCTTCCAACTGGAGCCTTAACCAGATGAAGAGAGTTCTGTCTGGATTGTGATCTTTGGACAGTTATTTTATCCTGACTGCAGACTATTGTGAGCCCCACTGGATGAATTGCTGACATGAATTCTCTTTCAAGATGGGCTTTATATGATGCAGCTGAATTAGGACTTCTAGTGTGGGAAAGACAGCAATTACAGACCTTTGTTATGGGACATACTGTCTGAATAGCTAGTAGTCCTAGATGGCCTTGTGAACAGGTGGAGGGAGAGGTTAAGTGCTATTTAGCATAGCCATTGATCCTAGTGTTGATGAGAAAATACACTGCTAATCATATTTTCAGGATCAAAATGCAATGTTTAATGTCTGGACGTCCTGGGGAGGAATGGTTTTGCAAACTGCCTGTAAAGGAAATGAGGCCTTTTCAAGCTCTAACATAAATTAGGATTAATAAAAGTTTACAGATAGTATGGTTCATTAGATTTTTTTAAAATTATAAATCAGAAATATTGACAGGATAGGATCTTTTTAGGAGGAAGCAGACAGTAGATCAGCAAGCTTTTTAAGATTCCTTTTCTAGGCTGGATATTATGTTAAAGAAAAAAAATAGCAATCTTCATTATATGTCATTAAAATCTGATTTCATTTCAGTAAGATAGTAATATTTGTTTTCTGTATTTATTCTTAGAAAATGTAATGATGCAGTTGAATGAGCAGATGAATGAAACCCCATGGCCGGGGATCAATCCTGTTTGGAACAGTCTTCTCTTGCTCATGCATCAAAGTAACATATTAACGTGGTTGGGGGTCAAAAACCAGAGAGTTATTCTAACCTAACATCTGCGTGGGTGTAGTTGGAGGCTCTCCAGACTGGGGTTGGATCCATCAGTAAAGCAGTTGCAAAAGGATGGTATTCTGTTGCTCCAAATTGCAGTTTGGAATGAGGACAATGGAAGCAGAAGGCAATCAGAGTTGGGCTGGGATATGGCACTCCAGAGGGTGCTGAATTACACCTCCCAGCATCCTTCATGATGGGCTGCCATTCTTAGGGTTGTTAGGACTTGACGTTCAGTGGCATATGGAGTGTCAAGGGTTGCCTAACTGATACACTGGGATACCGACAGGATGCGCTGGATGTATAGCCAAGCAGCTCTATTGTAGCTATTTCATTACATTCATCATATCACTTCCCAGAATGAATTCCCCACATCTAGTTCTGATGCACTGATTCTTATGCAATGTTGCATAGTGGTTTTGCTCATCATCCTTCAACTTTTTTCCTTTTTTGTAAAGACTCTTGAAACGGAGATAGATTGTTCCCTATTCTGTGATTCATTTTCCTGCTGACGGCTACCATTGCTGCTTAAGGCTATGTGTTTTTCCTCCTGGCAGCTAAATCATTTGCTCTTACCAGAATATCACAGATTTCACAGGAGTCTACTACGACCACATCTGGAACTTTTGTCTCTTTAACTATTCTTCCTGTGCAGAATCCCAGATTCTACAGAGAAAAGGAAATGACAGCAATTGAGATAGTATTGAATTTTCTGAATTCAAAAATGTATGTCTATCTCATCCATCCATCCATCCATCCATCCATCCATCCATCCATCCATCCATCATCTATACACATACACAAACATGCATTACAGTTTTATATTGTTTAAATATGTTACACCATTAAGGAATAAAAAATGTCAACAGCTTAATAACAAAACTAGCTGTTTTCCTCTGCAAATTTCCTCTCCTTCCTCTCTGTATGACTGGTGCCCTCCCACTCCCTTCTCCTCCCCTCCAGTTTTCTTGGCAACATTACAACAGTGGTGTGCCATTTCCTTCTGCTAGGATATTTTTCAGCTCCCCAATTTAGCTCTGGAGTTTTTTTAAGTCCTCCCAACCAAATACTAACCAGACTTGATCATGCTTAGCTTCTGAGCCGGAGAAGGTTATATGTGTCCTCTATGCCATGAAAAAGTATGGTTTACTGTCAATTTTTGCAGGAGTTTTGGAGACCACCACAACAAATGCCTCTCAGCATTGGCAAATCAGATTGTGCAGGAACGGGGAAACTGGGGTCCTCTCCAAATCGCTGAATTACGATTCCCATCACTCCAGCCTTTCATTCTTTGTTTATAAATCATATTTGTAAGCCTAACTCCAATGATTCTAGGGGGTGGACAACAATAAAAACAGACTATCACAATTATGGGACTCCTTATTAAAATAATGTCCAAATCTGCCACTCACACATTTAAAAGCTAGCAAAATTTGAATGCATTTCTCTCCAAGACATATGTACAGGAATTAATCCTTTGATCCCTTATACCAGTGTTTCTCAACCTTGGCAGCTTTAAGTTGTGTGGACTTCAACTCCAGAATTTTCCAGCCAGCTGGCTGGGAAATTCTGGGAGTTGAAGTCCACATAGCTTAAAGCTACCAAGGTTGAGAAACACTGCCTTATGCTGTTGTTATTGAGATATATTTGAGGATTTATCGGAAGGTTGGGTACTACGCAACTTCTCTTGCCCAGCATGAAAGATTCTGCATTTCAACTGCCTGTTTTCTTCCTGCAGTTTATTTTCACCTTGGCCAACCTTCTTTTATACACATTAGAGCCCTTAGGTTCTTTCTCAACTCACAGCTTTTCCATCAGGCAGGAATTCACATTTGGAAACATTTCTTGGATGAGTGTTTCTGGAGCATTTTGTCTCTTTTATGATGAATTCAACAATGAATACCGTACGATCGGCCACCTGCATAAGATAAACAAAAGAGTGATCAAAGACTATGTCCAGCTCTTCCAATATTACAGTTCACTTTGCCATTAGGACCTAAGGATGACTGCATGGCAGATGTAACCACATCCCCTGTTGAGAATCTCCTTGTCAATCAAGCCATTCCTTTATCAGCATCCTGGCACCTGGGAATTTAAGCAAACCTATTTCTGACACAAGGCCAAAACCTGGCTAAACTTTTCACCCTGGAAAGTTTTAGAAAAATCAATCAGACCTGTTCTAAATCAGAATAATCCTGGGCAAAATAACCTTTAGCAGATCTCTCTTCTAGAGCTGGACCCCAAAGTTCTTCTTGGCAGCAGGGGTCTAAAGCAATACTTTAATAAATGGGTGATGGGTGGGTGGGTGGAGATCTAGAAGCTGCCAGTATATATTTTCAAAGCCTGGATCCCCAGAAACAGAAACCTGACCTGGAAATATTTTGGTTTTTGCTATAGTCCTATGATGTTTTCATCTCATTCCCAGCCCAGGACTGAGATAGCCTTATGTGATTTAAAAAAAAAAACCAAACAAAACACTATGCTGGTGTTAAAGTATCCTTTTCTGTTCATTCTGACCCCTTCCAGAGGTAGCCTCAAGGTGTGTAAAAGGCTTTGTCATCTTGAAGAGGGATCAGGGGAGTGGTAGTGACTGGGAATAGAGGTCACAGAGGCAGGAGAGGGGTCAGCAGTAGGGACAGGATGTCTCATGCCAGTCTAGTTTTCTGACAGTACAAGGAGAGCAGAGTGCTATAATTTGGGGGTACAGAAAAGTCTGTAGTGCTGCAGAAAGGTGCTACATTGGGGAAATGTATAATGCACATAAAAACCAGGTGGAGCTTCGAACAGCCCATTGCAGCTATAGTTTTGACTTTTTTTTATCACACTCTGTGGTCACCCCTGGAACCAAAAGAGATCCTAGGAGAGGGGGTGAGTAAAGAGGACCAAAGATGCCACTTCTTGACACTGAGCCTGTTAGTAATAATAGTGACACCTATTCACATTTAAGAGAGCCAGTTTGGTGTAGTGGTTAAGGCACCAGGTAAGAAACCAGGAGACGGTGAGTTTTATCCTGCCTTAGGTACAAAGCCAGTTGGGTGACCTTGGGCCAGTCACTCTCACACAGTCCTAGGAAGAAGAAGGCCAGGGCAAACCCCTTTTGAAAATGTTGAAAATGCAGGGATTTGTCTGGGCAGTTGCAGGACTCAACACTGACTCAAAGAGGCATGCACACCTCATGCATGCACACACACAAATTAACATTTATCCTCACCTTTCTCAGGCTAACGGCAAATGCTGCAATCATCTGCTCCTTGGTGTTCCCAGATATATATTCATCACTGTCCATGGAAAGGAAAGGTAGTGATGGTGGTGTCAAATGATGTTATGTGTGTAATGATATCATCATGTAAATGCCAGTAGTTTCTTGCATCAGACATTGTGATGCAGGTATGTAAACATGGCATTTGTACAATGATGTCACACATGCATCATCTTCATGTCACTATGGTTTGTTACAGACCTGATGCTGACACTACTGTGTGCCCATTGCAGCATGTGAGAACTCTCGCAAAATGCCTCCCGTGTGTGTGTGTGTATGTCTGAATTGCAGCATTGTCAGTCACAAACACATTTCTAAAAAGGGAAACTTGTGAAGACAGTCCCAGTAACTCCAGTTTACTTTTGTCTTTTTTGGGGGGGGGCAGATGGGCATATTTTTAAACATAGTCCTGGGCTTGGGCTGCACCCTCCCACCATTTTTTATTGCCTAGGAAAATAAATGTCAGGACCACGGGTGTCCTTGGAAAGAAAAATAGCAGGTGGAGGTTGAATGCTTTTTTGCTGCATGCCAGCTTCCCATTAATTTTAATTTATTTAACGAATCTTAAATAAAAGAGCAAGAAGCCAGATTGGCTCCCTGGGAGGTATCTGTGGAGAAATGGTGCCCATGGACCTTATATTGGAGATAATTAGATGCCATTAAGGATATACATCTGCCGTGTTGACTGTCCTTGGTGATCATCTCTAGCTCTTCCAAGGATATCCCAATGACCCAGGCCATTACAAACAGGCAACATATAAATTATAGCAAATGCATACCCACATATATGTATACACACTCTCTCTCTCTCTCTCTCTCTCTCTCTAATTTTATCCATTCACTTTAGCTGTTCTTGTTCCCCTTGGTCTACTTCTCTCAACCTTTCCAAGCATAGGACTTGTTTCTATTTATCAACTTTTCATATGCCAAAGTATGTGAGTTTCTGCTTGCTGATCATAATGTCAAGGGAGCAGTCAGCCTTTATCTGGTTCAGGACTGACTAGGTGGTTCTTCTTGCAATCAGTGTTATTCTAGAAGGAGAGCCTTGTTAGTCTATAGTGGCAAAATGTCAAGAGTCCAGTAGCACCTTTCCTAACTAACAAATGTTAGAACACATAAGTTTCATGAGCTGCAGCTTACTTGATCAGATGCATAGAGTGGCTAGACTGATCCAGAACCTTAATTCAAGTGTCTGTCTTCTTTCTCCTATTCCTTCTCAATGTCCAACATCTGGACACCTTAGATACCTTGTTGCAAAGGTATGGATGCAGTCTACAAGCTTTCCATTTACATTGGGTACCTCCTCACCACTAATCTTGCCTGCTTCAATTTGAAGTGCCCATTCAAGGAGTGAATGGTTGGAAGCCTTGGATACTCCCATGATCATAGGATATACCAGAAGCATTTGTGCTTCGTGGAACTTGCCTTGTTGCCTAAGAGGACCACACCTTATCTAGAATAAGAGATCATGAAAACAGCTTGATTTCATTTCAGGAACCTCTGAAAGGCTTTTTACAAAGTTAAGATGAATTACAGGTTGAACTTGATATGCGTTCCATTCATAAAATTAGCAGCTATAAGAATAGCCTTTTTTTAAGAGAGAGAGAGAGAGAGATGATAGATGATAGATGATAGATGATAGATGATAGATGATAGATGATAGATGATAGATGATAGTTGATGGAAGGTGCTCAAGGGGAGGGGAGTTAAACCTTCATCTCCCATTCCTGGACTCGCATAAGAACCCCCCCCCCCCCCCCCC